ATGTAATCACTGCATGAAAGGCTTTCAGTTGCAGCATCTAGACATTCACTACACCAAGGCATTCAGATGCAGCATCTAGGCATTCACTACACAGCTGCAACAAGGCATTCAGTTGCAGCACCTTGGCAACCACTGCACCAAGGCATTCAGATGCAGCATCTAAGCAATCATCTGCACCAAGGCATTCAATTGCAGCACCTTGGCAACCACCTGCACCTAGGCATACAATTGCATCATCTAGGCAATCACTGCACCAAGGCATTCAATTGCAGCACCTCGGCAACCACCTGCACCTAGGCATACAATTGCATCATCTAGGCAATCACCTGCACCAAGGCATTCAATTGCAGCACCTCGGCAACCACCTGCACCAAGGCATTCAATTGCAGCATCTAGGCAATCACCTGCACCAAGGCATTCAGTTGCAGCATCTAGGCAATCACCTGCACCAAGGCATTCAATTGCAGCACCTCGGCAATCACCTGCACCAAGGCATTCAATTGCAGCACCTCGGCAATCACCTACACCAAGGCATTCAATTGCAGCATCTAGGCAATCACCTGCACCAAGGCATTCAATTGCAGCATCTAGGCAATCACCTGCACCAAGGCATTCAATTGCAGCACCTCGGCAACCACCTGCACCTAGGCATTAAATTGCAGCACCTCGGCAACCACCTGCACCAAGGCATTCAATTGCAGCACCTTGGCAACCACCTGCACCAAGGCATTCAATTGCAGCATCTAGGCATTCACCTGCACCAAGGCATTCAATTGCAGCATCTAGGCATTCACCTACACCAAGGCATTCAATTGCAGCATCTAGGCATTCACCTGCACCAAGGCATTCAATTGCAGCATCTAGGCATTCACCTCCATATAATTTCAAGACTAGCTTTGTTCACAATATGAGAAATACTGAATTTCTGCTAGCACTGTTAAAATTATTTTCACTTTCACATCTGATGTAAAAACATACAATTTACTATGCCTGTGAAATGGTTAGGAACCACTCTCAAATTCTATAATGTTTGAGCATATGTGGTGACCTATGAGGGTGGTTATTATTAAGCCAAATAAAACTAATTTGGTGTTTCCAGTGTTATCGATTTTTATATTTTGCAATGAGCCGTTTTTATAAGAACATAATCATGCTTTAATTACAGGTGTGAAAATGACATCAAGTTAGCTTTCAGAATATACATCCTTAATACAACAAAGTGCTAGTCCATTCACTGCTTAGAAGGACGTACATGAAACCAAAAAATGCAACATTGGTAGAATAGCTAATTGACAAAAAGTCAAATTCTTTGCATAAAATAAACTTTGGTATAATTATCAGAAACACAAATTTTTGAACAGTGCATGTGAGACATGTATGACAGGTGTCTTTGATCAGAATTCAAACATTTTATTTCAATGTTTATCAAACTAATACTCATTTCTTCCATGGTAGTTACCATGGTAACTACCATGGAAGAAATGAGTATTAGTTTGATGGTAACTACCAATTGAAAACGCCAGTCAGTCTGCATTCAAATAGGTTACATGGGACCCATTCAAAAAACAGATTGCGACCATTAAGGTATAATAACCCTTTGAACACGTAAGTTAATTTTACAAAATAATAATTTTTTCCACATTTAAAAAAAAAATGTCTATTTGGTTTAAAAATGAACATCGATATGTTGAGAAAAAACACAGAAATGTGCAAAATGTTCGAAAATATTCAGGCATTCAAGTAAAATTCACCATAACTCTGATACACTGTAACGTATTTTAGACTTCTGGGTTACCAGTAACATGACTCGAAAACTTACATGCACCTCCTTACAAAACTCTTAAAACAACAATGGCCGCACAAAACACAAATATAACAGTGACGTTACTGAGTCAATAAAGTCTACACGAAATGGGTATGGTTCAAAAAATGGCCCATGGCCCAAATATTATGCATTTCTCAATATTCTGGGGAAATTAAAAGAGTTATCAAAGAGCAATTGTTCAGTTAAGTTTAGAACAATGTTGAAAATGTGAATGTACCGTAAATGTACAGAGGTCGGGTCAAAATTAAAGGTTGTCAACCTGTCTCAGACAGGCAGAATTTAGCTGGTACAGGGTAAATGTAGAAATTGTCTGTCCTCATTGCCAAGTGAATAAAGATAACAGTTTTTACTAACTGACCTAATCGAGTACTCAAGTATATATATACTGATGTAACAATAATGATAATCTATTTCATAAAATATGTTGTAATTTATTTTGCTAGAAAAAGTTATATTAACAATTAGGAAAGGATTTTCAAAACAATGGAAAGGCAATTTTAATTTTTAATTTCAAACCCTGGATGTGAACGTGATGTCATGCAATGATGACGTTCTCCATGTTTGCAGGTAACCAGTCTCATTTTCTAGTCGTTTGCACTTACAGTTACCTGTATTGATATGTAAATATTTTTGTTCATCTTCCATAAAACATCTCATCTTTGATGCACCATGTCATGTTAAACCAGCCAACCACAAACATTGTTTATTTGTAAATCTTCATGTAATTTCTTTGTAAGTCTTCAACTCAGATTCCAAAATCAAGAATTCCATTAAAAAAAATCATGAATAAAATAACCCGTTCATTTTTTGGAATTTTTTCTTCAAGATGCATTCCTTGTACTATGAAAGTACAGTAATGTTTTTATTTTAGCTGCCTAGATTGTCAACATGGAGGGCAGGTACTTTGAACTCAAAATTCTCGATTCTCAAGTCAATAATGGCAGGATGCCAGCAAAACGATCTCCTCGTGGGTGGACACAAATGACAAAATGCAATGATACATTTCAAATCATTTTTAATTCATATCTAGTACCTAAAATAAGGTTGAATCTGAACTATCAAAATTTTAAATGAAAAATTTTTCAGGGAAACAAAATCTTAGGCAAAAAGATAAAGAATATAAGCTTTGTGAAAACAAAAAATTGGTGAAATTGACCACTACAATCAATTCGCCTGCGCAAACAAACATTTCCTTGGTCCTTTACAGGTCATTTAAAATATGGTAGATAACAAAAATCGTTTTTTTTGGGGGGGGGCGGCAACTGCATGGCCCCAAAAATCAGTGAAAACATTTGTAAATCTACACCTTGGATCAAGGCATGTGGCTTTCTACATATGACTAAACGTACATGTAGGGGGAAACACAAAAAAAAATAGGACATCATGCAATTCAGAATTTGATAAAGATATTTTGTTCAATAATACACAAGTAGGGATAAAAAAAACTTCATTTTCTAGATGGAAGAGCAAACTCAGTTCTTGTCAAAATGATTTATTTCTTTTTCATTCTACTTCAAGCTTTCTAAAGCCTGCCAGGAAATTATTGAATAATGTTGGGTCAATCTATTTATATAATCGTATGAGCTAATACCAGATAATGTGTGTATGAAAATATTGTTATACATAAGTAAAAAAAAAATGCTCTTTAAAATGAGCATGTGCATGATGCCAAACCTAGATCGCAAATTATGATTCCAACACATAGAGTACGTAATTCTAGAAATACAAGCTATAGAATTATTCACACATACTGGGTTCACATGTTAGCATTTTGTATACTTTTGTATCTGTAATTTTCTGTCTGATGATATACAATGTAGTACTGTGGAATACTTTATTTTCGCTTGGAATTTTTTTTTCGCTGAAGAGATAATAAAAAAATAAAATAAAATAAAATCCAGCGAATATACTTTTTTTTGTATATTTCACATTCAACTTGTCAAAAATCAGTGAAAATAAATTCCAAACAAAACACCCAAAAAACATTTTCAGCGAAAATTAATTCCAGCTACACTAAAGTATTCTACAGTATATATATATATATTTTTTATAACAGGGCCCTTGTGGAAATCGGCTATATTTGTTTCAAGTCTAGCCTGGTTTATTAAATAAATTTCACAAGCAAATAAACACACACAAAAATACATCAACAGTAAGTACATTATCAATTCAAACCCCGCCTACCACACCTTGTCAATAAGCATTTTCTATTGACTTGACAGAAAAAATGAATTCAAAGCTTGGCCGCAAAACAACAATGCATTCCGGGAAGAGCAATACAATGACTACTAGAGGACCAAACAAACTGTTACACTTCCTGCTGAAAAGCAATACAATATTCAGTGGAATTGAATATACAGACACTGTTTATTGTTTAAATCACATACTGAGTTAACTCACCTGTAAAACTGGAGGAAACAAGACTGTTCAAAGCAAAAGACAACCCACAGATGAGTTGACGTGATCGAGAATAATACTTCTACCACAGGAAAACAACATCTATGAAAATAGATTACAATACCACACATAGAGAAGAAGCGCACCTTGCTCTATCATCAAGCGAACATAAACCGCACAACGACAAAAGAAAAAACAGCTGTTCAGCACCACCCTAAGACAATCAAACTCATAAATATCACAATTCGCTACAAGATACACAATTATGATGTTTTATTCACAAAATTTAGACAAGAATTATTAGCTTTTATTGACGTTATTATCAATCTAATTATGAAAGAGATACATTTCACAAAGTTTGTAATCAATGCGATTGCCAGACAGTTGTATGAATACATTAAAGCCATCTCACAATTATGTTTTGTGATGTTATCATTCAATAGAATAACCACTGTAAACAGATTAATTTTTCACTGTAATTTTTAACAGGATTCATGTGGATAACATTTTGTGCCTGTGACTCACTCTCATAACATTTTGAGCACTACCCGGTAATGTCAACTATTGTCACCAATACAAATAATTTAACCAACTGAAAATTTTTTCCATTTTTTGATCAAGGCTCTAGGAAATGTTGAAAATTAATAAAGAAATTCATGTTTTTGTCAGGTAAAAATATTGCATTTAAAAAGTTAAAGATCTTGATGGAATTTTCCCTGCTACAAAATCTCATGTTCACACTGATTCACGAAATTGAGAAAAATTTGCCTCTTATAATAATAAATTGGCATTCAGTATTTTAAGGCATTTCGCGAGAAAACACTAAAAATTCCTTTTAAAAATACCTGTCAATCCAATATTTATAAAACTATTATTTATTATAATTGACTGGGAGTAATATTTAATGTGTAAGACTATTTTCTATTCAATATTTATAAATATTGAAATTATTAATTTCAATTTTGAACATGGAAATTAATATCTTTGGATGACAAACATAATATAAAGTACTTTCACAATATAAATTACATAGATGTCATACGTACAAGTTTGCAGTAATGATGAATGTGGCTAACACACTTTTGAGTTGAGTTTCCTGAAGCTTTGGCAAATAATTTTTTGTGACTGAACCCCCCCCCCCCCCTGTGATAACACAGCCCCTTTACGGCTTGGTTGACTTTTTTTCGACTGTACGAACATTGTCGATAGGATTGTTTATACCGAATGCTGAGTCCTGTTCAATTACTAGTAGGTCCCAATGCTATGTATGTTATACGTGTTGAAAAAAAATGACTGCTTTGTCATTAAATTTAAAATACTACAGTAAATCATTTAGCCAAATGTTTTTTTAGCTGCTTATCAATAAATTATTCATAGGTGAAATGTCAAATAGGATGTGGACGCCCTGAACTTGTTTGTTTACATGACTGTGGTGTTTTAATATGTATTCACGGGTAAATACTATCTCTATTCAGATAATGATTTTCTAAACTGTCATAAATTGAGTGTAATTACAATAGGTATTGGGTTGACAAAACACCAGCTGTATGTCACGCGTACCACCAAACTGAATACTCCAGTGACCACATACAACATTTCCTGCACAAGAAAGTAACATTTGTACTTGTCAATCCCCAATACTAGAGTGGTTTTGGCATCAATAACTGATAGGTCCACAATACAAATACTGCCTCAGGCTGAACATGAAAATGGGATTGACCCTACCCTTGGTGAGTGTGCAACGAACTCAATGCGAAAGACAAAGCCACAAGCCAAGAATCATTTGCTAACATATGCGACTTTCAAGGAACCTAAGATAAGGTTTGTAGGTGCTTGTGTTGAACCAGCCGTCGTGAACGCCCAACTACGAATATAGTTTTAGCCACAAAGTGTACTGTATACACACTACCAAGCATGTTCAATTTTCAGTGATCAGTGAAAATAGTAGTAGCCCTAGTGATATAGAGGACAAGAAAATGATAAGCAAGCCTCAAGACAATTCCTAACATTTAAAACCGATACATAGGCCATTCTCCCAGCACACACCAGGGAAAGGCATAATATCTTGGGGATAGATCAAACAATGCAAGGTGTGAATCAGCATTGTGACATTAATTGCATTCACGCACAGCTCCTTAGCACGGGCTAAGAGGTCAAATTCCTTAGCCCGTGCTAAGCAAACGTGCGTGAACGCTTAGCACGGGATAAGGAATGCTAAGTATGGGTTAAATCTGATCCGAATTTAAGACGCGGTCTAGACCCTTAGCACGGGCTAACGAAGTGTGCGCAAACGCTTAGCCCAGGGCTAAGCGCCCTCTGCAGCGACCTTTGGGTGTGAACAATATGCACATGATCAAATATATCCAACTTTCTCATTCCCAAAATGGCAACCGAGCTCAGTGTACACGCTTCCACACTGATCGGGTCACTGTAGTCTACTACAGCATGGATGTACTAGTACATCCATGCTGTAGTAGAGCGTACAGCAGCTCCAATAGTAGACAAAATAAATGTGGTTTGCTGTCTACGACATGCATTAATAAAACTCTGTATTCTGTTATGCAGTTGTATACTGTTTCTGTGCATCCAAATAAGTTGGGTCCGTTTTCTCTTGCGTTCCTGTGCACGTCGCTTCAAAATTAGAACGAAACATGTCAGCAGCAGAAATAGAACCTCGCGCGTGTCATCCATTTTTCGTTCGTAAATAGTGCCTTGCCAAAGGTCACCAACTGATGGCGCCCCTTAGCCCGTGCTAACGACTGGCCCTCCCTGTGCGTGGACGCAATTGGATCTAGCCGAAATGCAAATATGCTAGATAAGCCTAAATCAGCTTAAATCTTAGCCCGTACTTCGTGTAACGTGAACACAACTATTGTCTGGCTCACTAACAGTCATCAAGTATAAAGATCTATGATTTCAGTTGTGTTGTATTTCACCAACCAGTATTTTATGCAGTTTGTATTTTTACATGAATTTTTTTCTGTATTTAATTAACCATACAAATTTATTTCTGGATTTTTTCAAATTATTCATCATAGTTGAATTTGAGGGTATTACAACAAACGTCAACACATAGGATGGAGTTCGTCAGACATGTTCGCTATGTCTTCCATACCATGTATACATGCTTAAAATAAATTGTTACTTTGCTTGTTTAAATGAAATACACTTTGCAGTGTCCATTTATTATGAAACTGTCTAGGTGCTGGTCAGGGATGAATTAAGTTTTGTACACCTATATTTAAACCATAAAAATCAAG